CCGCCCAACCGACCGCCACCATTGGTTATTCTAACCGACCGAAAACAACATTACATTATATGCGGTTTGATCGATTATATTGTAATAAGTTTTGATCGATTTTTGATCAAAACTGAACCGAAATCGACAAAATCGACCGTCACACACCCCTAGGCCTTATACCCTTTTTGAAGAAAGCCTGAAATTAATCTAATAGCGAAATCAAGATTTCGCATTCTTGGGGACGAAAATAATGTCTATAAAACTCTCATACTAGAAGTTTAATGCTTAACAAAAATAGAAAGTAATTTAAATGAAAAAAAATCATATAAAAATTACACTAAATAACTCTATTTACTTGCTAATACAAAAAAAAAAACTTTTTTTAATAATTATTATATACTAAGATTGGACATTTCACTAAACAAAAAAATTTATTGTAAAAGTAAAACTATCAAATTCTACAAAAAAAAAATAGTATGAAATTTTAAAACTTTTGAGAGATGGGTTCTTCTAGCCTCTCATTCATCCCTAGTTGAAGCATTAATTTTTTTAAATTGGAATTGAAATAAAGGAAAGAAAAAGAATTACCACTAGCTTAACAGAAATAAACATTTATTTGAATTGTCTTTAATAGTTCAAAAACCTTTTCAAGTATGTTGCTTTCATTTTTTACCTTAAGCAAATACCATATTGTTATATAAACGATTAAATAGTGAAATTACATTAAAAAAATTCGAGTTAGAATTATAACATTGTATTGGAAAGATAATAAATTTGAAGCTAGAATTTACTTAAACGGTAAAATTCACCATTATTCTTAATTTAAACTCTCTTTTGGATTGAATGCTAACAATTCATTCAAATGTGGAATTCTATCGGTAGCTTTTTCAATTTCAAGCTTTCTAATTCATTGTCTCTTAACTCTTTAGAATGCGGCTTGCCAATGCCAATACCTAATTATCTCTTAATTCATTGTCCTGACGCTTAGGATGAATACTTTGACAACAAAAAGGAGTCCACTGTTATTTTTAATCAAGACTGGAATCTTTGATCGTGAATTAATAGCATTATTTATATTCATTCGACGAGTATCTAGTTCAATAATTGATGTATGACTTTAAATTTAAAATTCATGTTCGAATTTTCGTTTTTCGAATAAAAAATAAAATTATGGTTATCAATAGACTTGTAACTTCCGAAGAGAAATCTGAGCATATGAATGAAAGGATTGCACATAAGAGCTTGGATCCCATTTGGCAACAATTGTCTTACTTTCCAGTACACTGTTGCATGTAGTTTTGTAAAGACTTGAAATCTGATCCCAAGCTTCCTTTGCAGTCTTCACCGAGGCAACGCGAGGCAACCACTCTTCTGACAGAGAAGCTAAAATGGCGAGTAACACGAGCTGGTCTTGGCGATTCTACAGCTCATAGTCTGTATCTCTCGAGCCTGAGCACATCTTCCAACTTGGGAGTGGAGCAGGACAAGGCTTGGAGCCATCGACATAGCCTATAAGACCATAGCCACAGAGGAGAGCCTCGAACTGTGCTCGCCAACCACTGTAGTTCGTCGTTGTTAGCTTCACCGAGAGTAGAGCAGCAGAATTGATGTGAATCAGGCCGTTATCAAAGTATGTTGTGCCTGGGATTATGTTTGCAGGACCTTTATCTGCTGCCATTGACAGAGCCAAGAACAACGCTTTTTCCTTGCTATGATACCTTTTAACAAATTTGTTAAGTGAAGCATTCATCAGAGTACATTATATATATGTTACAGGATAAGGATATATACAGATATTAAATTCGACATTAATAATATATTCATTAACCTAATTATTCATGGATTTAAATAAATGTGATTCGTTATTAATGCAAGCATGAATCTAATTATTCATGAATTTATATGAATATTACATCTTTTACACAATATAAATGTATCTACGTAATCTAATAAAAAAAACAAAAAAAAAAAAACAGTCAAAGTACCTAATCAGTCCCTGTATCCATTCATTTTTTCCAATTTAGTACCAATCAGTCCCTGTACCCATTGTGCTTCTGCCTTTGGCAATGGAGGGTGGTTACTTAATTTCCCTCAGAAACACCAAGAAAAATAATTAAGGAATAATAGGGAAATAAACCAACAGTGCATGATAGAAAGGAAGATGGGTAGATGATAATAGAATGTTTTGAGTACAGAAATAAACATAGAAATAATGGAATTGATATACCGCAATAAAGGGAGCATTGGGATTAACTCAAAAAATAATGAGTGGCAGATAATTCAATACTATTTCCCAGAGTTAAATTATACACAAAAAATTACCTAAAACAACCTAGAGCATTAACAAGCTGAACAAATGATCCTATTTGATCTCTGGGAATTAGCAGCATTCGGGGAGGTATTAAAACGACAAAATGAACATGGTTAATTTTAGCATGTTTTGCCTAACAAAAAATTCAATCTAATCTTTTCCTAAGTACAATTGCAATGAATTCTGCTGTGGTATCTGCTATTTAATTTGCTCCTTTGCACTGTAAGATCGATTCATGTTGTGTGACAAAGCTGCATTAAACTTGTAGAACAGTCACAGGAATCACCACCGAGTCGTGTCCTGAAGTTGAATTGAAGCTGATGATCATGGTGCCTTCATTACCCTTTTTGAAGAACAGCCCTGGACATAGATCACGCCACAAAAATCAGTTCAATCATGTTTTGTCTCCCACAATAGTTACAGAACATCTCCCATAGGTTAAGACAGCAAAATTTTCTAGATTAAAATGAGAATGAAGGATTTGCAAAACTAAGCGAAGCATTAATTTCTTTTAATTGGAATTGAAGTAAACGGAAAGAAAAAGAATTGCCACCATGTTAGCAGAAACTCGTGTTGTTTCGAGTAATACGAGCTATGTAAACCAAGAAAAGCAAAGGCTGCAATTGCATGATAAATTAATGTAAATACACAAACCTTATGACACTGAATTTCTATGCACAAAGCTAAGTCGAGCCAAATAATTACTCTCGGCAAAGTCATGTAGTGTCCGACGAGTGCGTGATCCTTCACGGTCAGGTCTCTGACACTCTTCTTTCAAAAATTTCCTACATGCATCAGCATCCTGAAAAGAAGCAAACAGAGGGTTTGTTAACGATTGAATTGAATTCAGGACAATTCTAGAATTAGCTAAGAGGAATTTCACACACACACATAAAGGAGGTACATAAAAGTCAAAGACCCTCACAGAATCCAGACATAGATGATCCTCCAGATTAAATTTTAAAACAACAGAGAATACTAGTGGCCATTGAAATCAAACAACATATACACAACTACTAAAAGGGAGCCAAACTCTCTCTCTCATGGATCCATCAAGACAAACAAACTCACAAAGAGATCAACTTAGCTGGGGCGACAGGTAAATATTTACTGCAATGACATTCTCACGCTACAACTGTATAGTGCACAATAATGTTGCCATAAATTATCAAGTCATTGTCTTGACAAGGGAAGTTAGAGCAAGAGCTACACCTGTAAGAATTCCAACATTTGCTCTTCAATTGTACCACTCATGGCTAAAGTCTCCACATGAATTGGACGAGTAGCACCCATCCGATGTGCACGGCTAATGACTTGTTCCTCCATGCTGATAAGGTTTCAAGCGTAAACAATGCCATCAGTAGATAATAAAATATAATTTTTTCATAAATGAAAATAGGAAGCAAAAGGTGTGGCCTTATGGTAAAACATATTTCTAAACTGATTTTCTGACCAGAAGATCAGGGCACAAGCTCCCAACAGTGGATGGAGAGGCATAAGACTCATGCCCATTAATCTTTAGACATCACTTTCCGTAGTACTGTACCATCAGTGAGGTTGGGGACAGAATATGGCTCAGTGTGGCATAGTGTGAAGAATGCTTCCAACAGGTTTGATAGCCAGATGGTCAAGGTTTGAGCCATACAACAGTGGATGGTGGACACGATAATCAGTTTGTCCACTGTCGTACCTCAGTGAGGTAGGGGTAAGGCTGTGGCTTAACCCTTTCCAGAGCACTTATGTTCCTTGCGGAAGGCCATAATGGTTCATTTTCTGGAGGCTCTCTGTCTAAGCCTATCCTAGCATTGATTCCTTAGCAGTTAGTGGTAATGGTTATACCCAGGATGGGTTGCCACAATCAGCCATACCTCACTGGCCCTTTTTACTTAAAAAAAAAAATTAAAGAAAGAAAATGCAGCAAGTAGTATTTGTTTGGAAGAACAAAACCAATGCATAAGCTGTTAGGTGGGAACCCAAAAAATATTTGTTAGTAAAATTACCTTCTGTCCCAGATTGGCTCCATCAAAAACACATGAGAAACAAAACTCAAATCAAGACCCAAAGCGGCACTCCCATCCATCAAAAGAGCCATGCAGCTATCATCATACTGGAACAAGGCCAGCGACTTCATCTGAATAAGTGGAAATTAATTAACTTAAGGATTGCACAAACAGGAAAACAAAAGTAGTAGTTAGAAAAAGGATAAGAGAAGACAAGTACCTTGTTGCTAGAATGCATTGGACTATACATACCAGCAAACTTGATACCAGCAAAAGTCAGCTGCCAAAGAAAAAAAGCCATCCATCTATCATTTGTAAAAGAAAAATAAAAAAGGGCACTCATGCCTAATTAAAGGCAAATTACATCTACCTGCTGCTCGATAACATGTATATGCTCTAGAAATTGAGAAAATATCAGAACTTTCTCTGGAAGTGTCTTGTATGACTCCTTGCCCAGTCTAGAGCAATTCTGCAGCAAAGGCACACCCATATTGCTCCTCTGTGATGGCCAAAGTAACTTATCAATGTCCTTGGCATCATTGTCCTCATCCATAGAGCAACGGATCTCTTTATTAACCTCCTGCAATGCCTTCAGCCTCTCCACAAGATAAGCAACTTTACTGCTAGAGGTTGATTGCCAATCAGGATTCCAGTCATCCTAAGAACCACAAAAATGTGTATTTAGAATGATGCATATAGCTTAAAAATTAAAATACAAAATGATAAAATCAAGAACCAACCTACCTGTTTATATGAAGGTTGTAACTCAATAAGATCTTTTGGGACAGGCCACTTAGGATTTGGATTTTCTGGGCGTGCTAATGTTTCTGGAGTCTGCATCTCATATAAGCGACCACAGCCAGGTAGGGTACACATTTTGCTGTCCAAACCAACACAATCAAGGCACAAAAGATGCCTACATGGGGTGACAATGGGTAGGCGGCACCATTCATTGCATCTATATCAGAAGACAAAAAGACATAAACCTTTCATCTGAATATCTTCTAGGTAAAGGCTGAAACAAAAGCCAGAAAGAAACTCAAAAGCAAATTATTACCTCTGACAATTACCACCATAAAGGAGGTTATATTTAATAACAGCATATTCTTCTGACGAAAGATCCAGACCATTTTCAACTAAAATATCCATTGTTTCTTGTATATCTTCACCTGCTTCTGTTACTTTTATATGCCCGGCCACACAACAAGACAGCCTGACATTTCTGATTGTTGTACTTCGAAACTTCCACTGCTTAGGATTCAGTAAACTTTCAACGTGAGAAGGATCATTCCAGTCAGCCATTAGAATATTGCGCCGGACTGTAACTACCAATTCATTGTAACTTCTTGCATGTTCATGAGTGAATTTTACAAATGTCACCTTCCTGATGCACGGAGGAATAGTTTGCAAATCTATCTTTCTTGCACTAATCATGCATCTATGGAGCAACTGCAATAAACGTGACCGACCCTCTTCCATTTTGGCTTCAAATGGTTTGAGAATGCCAGCTTCCCATGACTTTTGGTTCTGACCATAAGCTTCCTCATGAAGGAACTTAAGTAATGGTTGAAGATGTGACAGTTGACTATTGGGTGTGTTAGGAGTGGGCGTTCCTGTTAGTAACCAACGACTAGAAGCAGTCAATGAAATGGCCATCTGTAATTTGTTGGTTAAATTAAGACTCGAGCCAAGGGTGTGCCCTTCATCTAAGATGACCCTAAACCAATGCACTTGCATCAGTGCACTTCTCTTACGGGGACCCCACTCTGCACTTAAACGATTAAAAGTAGTAATAACAATGTCATAGTCCCAAGCCAGACTGTGAACAGGAGGCTTTCTTTGATCAGTCCAGACATAAAGCTGCAACTGACCAGGCCTTACATGTTTCTGGATTTGTGTTTTCCAATGATCAACTAGATTTGATGGAACAACAACTAATGTTGCTCTTGATAAATATAACCTCACAGAATCTAATGGCTCACAGAGAGCAATTCTAAGAGCAGCCAAATCAAAAGCCAAGTTCTCAAGAGTCCGTGGATAATACCACCTGCTAATTCCCTTTTCTACTTTCTTTATAAGACCAAATGCTTGGAATATCTTATGGAACCCAGTTGCATCTTCAGCGACACCAGTACCTAATATTGGACTTGACAAACCAACTGTTTCCATCTCGAAGAGCCTCTCTGGAGAAAGTTTAGCTAACCAAATTAAGGCTTTCTTTGTTTTAGAATTTATCACAGTATAGTGCTCCTTAAGCACACTGATAAAAAATGACACATTTTCCTCCTTTCCAGCAGCAGTTCCTTTGGTGAAAAATCCCGGCAGGTATGTTATGGACTCATGATTATCCCATGCTTCTTCTGGATCAGTACAGCTCTGACGAGCAGGGTCAGTGTTCATGCTACAAAACCATGCTACCTTAGCATCAGCTATACTTGAGTCCGCAAGTTTCCTCCACTTGTGACAGGCATCACACTGAACCCAAGTTTCATTACACACAATACAACCAGCAGTAGCCTTCCCAGACCTCATGCAACCATCTAACACTCCATAGGATAAACCAACTTGCTTTCCCCAATAGACATGGCTTGATCGATTCCTTATATGTGCATTCTTGTCAACTGCTTTTCCCTTACATGAAGCAGACAATCCATCGTAAGCATAAAGAAGATTTTTCCTGATGTGACCCAAATTCCTTGGGGATCGAACCACCCATGTTACCGGCTCAAAGTATGAAGCTGACGGTGAGTTGATTCTTCGATCAAAACAAGAATCATTAAATTCTGCACTTCTCTCACCTGGATCCATCAACCTGGCCCTTTTAAGTAAAGAATGATTTGTTTCCTCCTTGAGACTAAACTTTCCTAAAGATGATTGTACCCTGAGAGCATTCTGACTCATAGTCCTTTTTCCCAAAATCATATTATTGCAGGTGAATTCATCACCTCTAAGCTCATAATAACCACATTTATCATTACCATTGTGTGTGCACCATATAATTTGAACACCCTCTGGTGGATCAGCCATTGTTCCTTGCGTTTTCAGAATAAGTGAAAGAGCAGTTATAGTCTTGCCCAAGCCAGGTTCATCACAGAACATTCCTCCGCGAAAATCTCTGATAGTGGGAGCCATGCCAGTAACTATACTGCCAGAAACACTATTAACATAGAAGGGAAACCCATCTTCTGTTGAAAGTTCCATGAACAAAGGATGATGTAAAACCTCAGCGCTCCGCTCACGTCTTAACATCCATTCAACTGCTGCCTGCTGATGAGGGAAAAGTTTAAGTTTCATACATGGCATTATCAATGCAGCCAAAGACCTTAGATGACGACAGGTTGCTGCTACCCTGGTAAGACCCATAGGGTCAAGTGTGGCTAGAATATTAATCAGGATATCATCAGCTAAGTCCCAAATGCCAGAAGTATGAGTGTCCTCAGCTGGTTGTACTCTAGAAGAATCAGCCATTCCCTTATTTATTACACTAGGCAAGCTCTTAAATATGTCATGAAGCTCAAATAGCCTTTTATTAGAAGGGTCAACGCCATTACAATGCAACTTGCATCCTAAAACATGACAATCAGAAACACTCCAGATGCTCCTTACATTTCCATGAGCATCTATACCAATCTCTGTTCCATTATTGAGCATCAAACTTCTCTCCTTCCAATCACAGCTGAAAAAGCAAACTCCTTTAGAAGGGGAATAAAGGAAATATTGATGCAAATTTAAGGAAAAAAAAAAGCCTATTTACCTTGTGAAATCTACAACAAAAAGGCTACTTGCACAATGGATCCACAATTAAAATTTAGTTTCTTGGTGCATAAAAACAACACTAGTTTGTTGAGAAAACCATGCAAATAAAAAATTGTTATACGCAGTAGGAAACTACCCATTCAGCGATGTTGTGTGCTTTGCTTATAGCAAAAAGTACAGAATAAAAAAGGTTTCCTGTTCAAGAAATTCTAGAATTAACATTTAAAATAAACGATATGACCTACCACAATTCAGATATCTGTCAGTTTATAGCCATTCCTCGTCAGCCACAGATTGGTATAAAAGAAATGTTGCAGTTAACCAATAGAACAAATGTGAGATTGAGCACTTGTAATTCAATGGTGCACAAATGCAACTCACAATTGAGAATAAGGGTGAAAAGAAATCCCAATTCCTAAATAATAACAGTCAAGCAAGCTATCACAATATCATTTCATTAGAACCAATGAACGATATAAAGAGGAGCTTTTATTCCAATTCTAGCTTGCATACATCAGCATCATCACTACCTTCAATTTCCTTGTCATAATCAATTAATGAACTTTTACTTATAAAATTGCAATCCAGCATCCACAACAAGACTCTAGCATCCTAACTAGAGTTACTCGGAATGTGGATTAATACAGTTCACAACCGGATTGCAATATGCCACTTATCTAAAATATGGTATGATGAGGGTAGTATTCTTTAATTCACTTAATAGGAGTGTCTTTTAGCCTAAAGTTGCTTTTTAGTTAATTTTAAAATCCTCTGAATTCCTGTTAGTAAAAAGTTTAAAACATTAAAATCTCTTAATTACCCTCTGTTTGAAAAGTTAAAAACATAAAGATTCTTTTGGTTCACAGTTGGTTAAAAAGTTAAAAGCCCTAAGTTACTTTGCACCACTTCTCTTCCCTCACACCTGTTCCTGGCAGCAGCATCTTCTCCCTTCCCAAAAGACAATACAATTTCAGCCTATCATCGCTGTCTTCCTTGGTTCCTCTACCTCTTCCTTCTAGAGATTTCTTCTTTCATTCATTCTTCTTGATATTTGTGATTGGATCGCATGTTTCACCATTCCAGATCACAAACAATCCACGAATGCTATCATGCAAACCAATTAGTAAATCATAGGGGTTTTGGTGAATTCTGGTAACTCTGATCCTAACTTCCGGTAAAAGTTATTGTGAAAGCATTTCCTAACAATTTCACAAATACAGAACAGCTGATCTTGTAGCTATAGTAAAAGGTTCTGCCTTGCTGGTCTTGCCTGTTGCTTTTCACTTTGTTTTGGTTTCACTTTGTTAAAAGTTGCTAAAAAAAAGTTAAAAGAGAATTCTATACTTGATTAAAAGGGCGCAAATAATTAAATATGCATTCATATGTAGTCATTACTCTTCCTTAGAAAAGTAAAATCATCCATAAATTTTAATCTTTAATTATTCCAAAATCCTGCTATTTAAGTTTAACAGCATCTACATTGCTACTAAATTAATAAACTTGCTTTTAAAAAGAATTGAAAACGAAAATACCTTAAGTGCCTAAACAAGGAACCAGCAACCGAACCGGACCGAGGAAACTGCCAACCGGACCATAGCTCAATCGGCAAATAAACATCCACAAGCACAACCGCCCTCGCCTCCTCCTCCTCTCCACTCTCCTCCACTCTCAGAACCCTAGCGTAGATCTTCACGCACTTATGAACCACCAATGCATGAAACTGATGCACCACACTCATACTCCCATTCACCATCCCAATCCTCCTCCTCCCACCTTTCTTCCTCGAGCTCCCCGCATTATAGTGATTCGAAGCGTCGCCGTTTCGTATCACGGAAAGAACGAAGCCGTTTTGGGACCGGAAGCAAATGTTGCCGTCGTTGTCGGTGGTGAGGTGGCAAGGAGTGGAGAAGGGGATGGTCGTGGTAACGGATTGGGAAGGAACCGCGAGGACCGTACAAAGGTAACCGCAGAGTTTGTGATCGGGTACGGTCTCGTCCATTGGATGCAGCTTCGAATCTTTTAGGGTTTTAAATTCGAATTTAAATTTTAAGGTTTCATTGGATTTTTCTCCTCGCGGAAGGAGAAAGAAAGATCGAAGACGAAGAAGGAACGAATTTGTTTGGAGGCGGTTTTTTTTTGGAGAGGAGGAGTTTGTTTAGACTTTAGATTGGGTGAGCTGAGGTGGGTCCAGGGGTTTTATTATGGTGGTTTAAGGTGTAGGGTTTAATGTTGGTATCGGTTGTTTTCGTCACCGTTGCCGGTTGGTTGTTAATATCAATGTTCTAGCTTTATGCTTTGGTTTTTGTCCTTCGATGGTTTTTCACTTTCCAGTTTGAGCCCGTGGATATGATTGAGGTTTGCTGGGTGCCATAGATCCAACGGCTTGAACGGTCAAACCAAAATTAACACGTGATTTTGAAAACAGGTGGTCTGGACAATTGCAAAGAAGGGAATTTATTTTTCTTTAAATAATTAAAAATTTTATATAAATTTTTTTAATTTTTATTACGTTTTAATTAAACGTATATAAATTGTATTGAATATATTAAAAAATAAATATTAATTTAAACTTTTTAAATAGTTTAAAATTTTATATAAATATCATGTTATTTTTTCACTTTTTTATATATTTTATGGATAAATTTTGTTTTTGTAAAGGTTTAAACTGTTAATTTTTTAAACTGTGAATATAAAAAAATAAATTAATTTTTTAAATTAAAAATATTTTGATAATTTTATTGAGTGAAATTCATAATGTTATATGACGAAAAATTTATCTGTCAAAAATTATTAATCGATCTAATATTATTAAAAAATAGAAAAAAATACAGAAAATATAAGTAAATTTTATCCTTAAATTTTATATATATATTTTTTAAAAAATTGACGTTTAAGTTTTTTTGAGTGCATATAAATATTTAACCTTAAAAAAAAAACCAAAACTATTTGAAAGGTAAAAGCACTTGACAAAATACATACAAAGCAACACCCAACCGAACTCACAAAACCTAAGAGAACTTAACGAAGAACAAGGAAGACCTGATACTGACATGGCAAGAGACAGCTGCTTGGCTCGCGTCACTGCCGGTGCCGCCGTAGGAGGTGCTGTTGGCGGCGCCGTCGGTAAGTTTCCTATTCTTCCACTACTCGATAGAACCGTAAACCTCATTGCTCTGTTTTTAGTTACTGAAAAATAGAAAAAAACAATGTTAAATTTGTTTCAATTAGATTAATAATAATTATTATTACTACTATCTTTTTTTAAAATATTTCCGAAATCATGAAATTATATGTTGTTTGTTTAATTTAGTGATTCTGGAACTGAAATATATATAAATTTCTGAACTTTAGGGTTTTTGAACAAATAATTATTATTTTCATAGTATTTTTTTGCTTTTTTGGATTATAGATTTGTCTGATTCTATTTTCTTGCATTGATAATTTGCAAAGAAAATTATTATTTTTTAGTATTACTCTTACTATTTTTTCTCAAGAAAAGAGAAAATAAATAAATAAAGGCTGATATTCAAGGTGTTAATTTGGTACTAATGTAAAAAGTTGCTTCTTTCTTAACTTTTTTTTTTTGTTACCAAACCGAGAATACGTTGTACTTCAATTTCCGGTTAGCTAATTCCTTGTTTTGATTTTGTTTTCTTTTACATGGTTAAATTTTTTTATTTGTTATAAGGTTTCAACTTTATGTTTTGCTAATAATTGATAAAATTAGAAAATTAGCTGCCTTGTTGAATGTTGTTGTTGAGTAGTTAAGACTAAGTGGGGTAGAATCTAGTTCATAGAAAGTATGGTTCAATCAGTAGATAGAGGTGATATATTGAAACTCTATATGGAGTTTATGTGGCTTGACCTGTTCCCTCAGTATAATCAGGAGTAAATTAAGAACATAATTAAAAGAAAAAAATTGGTTAGAATGTGTGTTTGTTGTTAAGGGTTTAGAACCGTACCACATGTAATGAATATGTGTATTATTTACAAGAGGTACTATTTTTTTTACTCGAGTATATTTGGCATTATTCAAGGATAGTGTCCTGTGAATCTCTAAAGAGGATAGAAAGATGGGGATGAATGATTAGGGGGGGATTCAGATTACTCTTTTTAATATAACAACGTTCTATTTTTATGTCTAAAGAGGCACTGTCTGAGGATAATGTGCAGTATTCTTTTGCTGGATCAGTCAGTTTTGACACAATTTTGTTAATATTTTGATGCATTGTGTTTTGATACACAGCTTTATTTCTGTTTTTTTATATCTGGGATTGTAAATAAACTTAATTTATGTACTTGCGTTTGTGCAGGTGCTGTTTATGGGACTTATGAGGCTATTAGATATAAGGTAAAGTCCATTGTTTACTTTTCTTTTAAAAGATGAAACCATGTTGATTCTTTGTTGGCTTTTTTAATTATTGTGTGTAACTTACCAACTTATTTACAAAAAGTGATGAAACTTCTATGCATATATGGTCAATATTTCTGTAAACCTGACTAAGAGATATGCTCTGTCTTGCTGTTTTTACTTCTTCCATGGTAACAGAGGTGGTTAGAATAAAGATGAGTTTGTCAACAGTTTCAAATTCTATCGCCTTTGGCATTGCTGTTTTGCTCTCAATTCTGATTAAGTTGTTCTTCATGTGCATTGAGGGAGGTCCATTAACTTAGACTCTAGAATTAAATAATGTTATCTTCATATGGCATCTCGTTGATTGTTGAGGAATTACAAATAATTTCATACATGTAGAAGGAATAAAAAGGGAGTAATGAAGACCAAAACTGGTACAATCAACTCCAACTATTTATGGTTAAGGCTTAGCTTATTTGTTTAGGGTTAAATATGACTGAGTTGCCTAGGTGTCATATACTGATTACCATCTCGCTTTATTCTAACTGAAAGCGTTTGTGTATGAGCTGACGCTATAGCTTTTCCTACCCTTTCTGCACTTCTTCCACCTTGGAAGCCTTCGGCTTCTTCACTGCAGATAAGGGGGAATTTCTCTCTTGTTTTTCAATGTGGGTTCTTGTTTTTTCAAAAAAAAATGAACTGAGTTGCCTAATTTATGGACGAGTATTTTGGTAATTATATTGTATTTGGAATAGGCCAGATTATTGGATGGGCGTATATTTTCTTTTTCTAACATTAGACTTTTGTCACATATAACTTGAGGATATAAGAATTTAAAATTTGTAAATAAGACAGCAATCTATTAATTTGAGTTACAGAGGCAATTTTCGTTAAATTGTGGGTTGGGGGTGGTTTGATATGATTTTGAGGAGATTTTGAAGATGGTTTACATTTAGAGTAAAGCTCAGGGATTGATAGAAGAATTCTAGACAAATGCATGATTGAAATTGTTTACTTCCGTAGTAGCATCTTTATTTGAAAGAAAGCTTGCTTTTCTTCTAAGCAAAACAATCGTAAGAACATTACTTCTTTCTCCTTGGTTTCATCTACTTCACCCTTCCCAACAGTCATACGGCTCCTTAGTGATATAGGGTCTCAGTGGTTCAGGAAAAGAACTGTCCTTCAGTAGCATTATAAAGCCACTCCATAATTTGGATTTTTAAGGATGGCATTGGCGCATTTAATGAATTCCCACTTATTTGTTGAAATACTAAAATATTGACGAGTTGAGGCTGGTGTCATCCTTTTTGTATGTATCCATTTATGCATGCAGAATTTATTCTTGCATGTCATTATTCATATGTTGGGGCTGTGCAGGTTCCAGGAATGCTGAAGATCAGATATATTGGGCAGACCACTCTAGGCAGCGCAGCAATTTTCGGTCTTTTCTTGGGCGCAGGGAGCTTGATTCATTGCGGGAAGTCATACTAACCATTCTTTAGTTGTGTTTAAACCCTGAGATTGTATTCTCAGGATTGTGTTAGCTTTAGAAAGGTGTATAACAGTTTATAAGCCTCGGTTTTTTCTTTGAGTTTGTCTCTCTAGCCTTAGTGTGGGTGAAAATTTGAAAATATATGACTTCAATTTGAGGATGTGACAAAATATTTTTGCTTTACCATTTTGTTTCTCTCTCATAAAAGCAAAAGTTGCAGAGAAAATGCTCTATTCTGCCTTTCTTCTCTGTCAAAACTTATTATGACAACAATGGAAACATTTGCCAAAGACCCTTTGTGCCCAGATGATGACAATTGCATGTATATACTTGATAGTCCTAATATACATTAGAAAATCTTATAATAAAAAGAAAGTGCTTCAATATTTAGCGCCTAATTTTGTCCATTAGGTTTAATAAAGAAAATTTAGTGATGGAACTGCTTAGTGTTATTGACAGCTGTCATGTGGCACACGTATGCCAAATGTCAAATTCCGTGTGGCCAAAATCCTTTGATTTCAAAAGGCTGCCAAAGCATCACATGGCACCATTGGTGAAGGTTTTACAACGTACTTTTTCTGTAGAGGAACTCTCAATGGTCCAGCTTTGCATAATGTAAGTCTTTGCTCTTATATGCTAAAGATAAACTATAATGTTATGTAGACAGATTTTGTACAGTGAAGTTTTCCTTCCTCAGATCCTCTCATTGTCTTTTGTTTGCTTCATTTTCTTTAAAGATTGATTGCACCTTGATTTTAACACAAGACCTCGAAGATCTAGCATTTTACTAGTTTTATCATTATCGAATTCCAAGAATTGGATAAAATCAAAAGTTAAGGTAATACAAATGAGAATGTTTTTTGGGGTGGCATACAAGGTTTGGAAGGTTCTAAGTTTGTGTCTCAGTTTGTTTCATAATTGCAAATGATATTGCTCATTCTCTTCCAAGCTGAAAATGTTAATTAATATCGACTACTCAATCGTTAAGTGTGTTTGATTCCATGTTCAATCATGTTTATTTATGATTAAGTCTTGTGTATATATCTTGTATAAGTTCATATGTGAAAATCTAGTTCATATATTTGTTCATAGTCATATCGAATTCAAGACTGATGAGATGAGAAAAAGAAAAAAAAAAGCCTCAAACTCCATATTAAGAGAAAGAAAAACATGCAATTGTTGTATGCCATTTATGTAAATTAAGCTAACTTTCATGAAAAAAAAAATTAAAAAGGGTTAAATAGAGAGGTATATCAGCTGTGGCCGATGGCCACCCTTCCTACCAAAAGATTATTGAAAAAGGCTTAGAACATAATGTAAATTTGAAGTTGCAAAATGGATGCAGAAAGGACCTAAACCAACATGCTCCCAAATTTTGCATTCCATTCAACATATGCAACAAGTTCTTGCTTGGAAACAGAAGGCCTCACTTCTTTCAAAGCATTTTTGAAATCCTTGAAAGAAACCGGCCTCAAATCCTCAGGCTTCAATTCGCAAATACCTTTTCCATTGTTAGCTTCCTTAATTGCTTCCCTTATTGGACCCATCATAGCTTCCTGGACTAAGTTTTTCATGTCTGATCCTGAATATCCATCAGTTAAGTTGCATATGAGATCAAGGTCTTGTTTTTCAAGTATGTTTCCACCATTTTTGCCCATTGTGTTAAGAACAATGTGTGATCTGGCTTCAGAAGTAGGCAAGGGAATGTAAAGTCTCTTGTTAAGTCGCCTACGCGCTGCTTCATCAAGATCTTGAGGCCTATTTGTTGCTCCAATGACTATGATTTGCTCACTTCCAGAATCAATGCCTTCCATTTCGACCAAAAATTGTGTTTTAAGTCGCCTGATGGATTCATGCTCAGTGATTGATGACCGCTTAAAGAGAAGAGAGTCTATCTCATCAAGGAAAATAACAGAAGGTTGTAAATGACGAGCAACCCCAAAGAGTGTTCTAACAAGCTTTTCACCATCACCAAGCCACTTGCTTACCAATGAAACAGTAGATATGTTGAAAAATGTTGCTTTCATTTCTCCCGCTAAGGCTTTTCCAATCATTGTTTTACCTGTTCCTGGTGGACCAAAAAGGAGAACTCCTTTTCTTACTGAACAGACACCTTGAAATATTTTCGGATTTAGTATAGGCCACAAAACAGTTTCATGCACACAATTTTTAGCATGCTCAAGCCCTGCAATATCATCCCACTTGACAATGGTGTCTTGATCTATAATCTCAGACACAATTTGCTGGATTAGCTTAGGTTCCAAATGGTCAAGTCTTTCTGGAAGCTTATTGTTGGAACCATATAACGTTTCCAAGGCTCTCTTTTTTGTTGGCATTGCTGATGATGTGCTAGCAACATTTGTTCCTGGCTTGGTGAGATTCAGTATATATTCCATAGTTTGTGCGCTAGAAGGAAAATCTATATGATATGGTTCAATCTTACTACAAGAAGGAAGAGGTGTAGCTTGGTTTTGTTGAGGAATACTAAAAGGATGGGTGATTGCAGCCTTTTTCTGCGGATGAACACTTGGAGGAGGAAAAGCAGCTTGGTATGGTCGATGAAGATAATTGAGAGAAGGAACTCCAGGTGCATTAGTCATTGGAGAACTATTTAAGCTAAAAGAAGGAAGCCTAGCTTGATTTTGCTGAGGAATAATATTGGGGTAAGGAAGTGCACCTTGATTAATACCTAAAGGGGGTGGAACTTGGCTTGGTCGATTGATAAGTGAAAGCAAAGCAGATTGGTTTGATCCTAATATAGCATTAGACCCCATAATATCATTGACCACACCCTTGGCTTTCCTTAGAGAATCCAACACTTCTAAAACAACCGATTGAATCTCACAGCTCTGATTCGACAAAGGAACAACCTTAGAAGGACATATAGTAGTACCCAAAGCCAATGCCAACAGTGATGCATGAGAAGATTGCACCTTTGACAATAATTCTTGACTTTTTTCAGCACATAACGAAAGGGATGAGAGAAGTGAATATGCTTGTTGTTTTGTCAAGGTCTTCTTCTCAGTGGATGAATTGTTTCCATTAAAATCCATATTTTCTTCTTTCAAAACAACTGCAAAAGAGTTTAAATGTATCAAATATAATAAGTTCATGATTGACACTTAACTCTTATTTTACCCCCAAACTAATCAAAAACCTAAAAAAATAAATAAAAAATCAACCCCAAGTAATACGTTCATACAATAATAGATTTGCATAATAATAGAGAATATCTTAATCCTAGATTATCCTATATCCATAGAAAAAACTTGAAGAAGAAACAAAGAAGATATCAGTGAGCAAACTTGCTAAGAGAAAAGAAGGAACACATGCCTAGCAAGAAGGAGAACAAAGAAGAGATTATCCTCTAAGTAATCTGGCACTTGTTTCGCTTTGCTTGATTGCCGAAGAGAGGAGAAATGTGTGCAAGGATTTAACAAAGGAAGGCTATAAAAGCCAGCTTCAAAGCGTGGCTGTGGATGTCTTCTCCTACTGAAATCAATATGGAGAATTGTTGAATACAACTTCAAAGTTGGATTTCTTCTCCTTTTATAATACAAATAGGTTATAACTTTTACCCTTCAAGTCATTTTGGTGTATGATTTCATAAGTAAGTTTCCATACAAAACAAAAAAAATTAAATTCAAAGGAATCAAAATTTAATTCAAAATGTCAAGTTGGTAGAAACAAAATTCATTTTGAGTTTGATTTTTATCATTAAATCATCATGTTTGGTATAAAAAATCGGTTACTTATGTGGTAGGATTCTTATATTAGGTAAGTGAGCAATAAACCATGCGGTGGCAATCTCGTTTATGGTAAGTGGTCAGTATCTTACCTGGCGGTGATTTATATCATTAAGAACTGTTATAATTTTTCAACAGAATTGCATGAAACAATGTTTTCGTCAAATAAAATGATTTACAAAATTAAATATGAACTATTGTAATTATTTTTATATCGTGTTAAAATATTCTTTTCGTCGAACTCCAAAGTATATTACTATTTATATATGATTTTATATATCAAATATCATAAGTTCATGATTACACTTATCATTTATGTCACCCCAAACCAATCAAAAATCGAAAATAAATAAATAATCAACCCAAATTAATATGTTCATATAATAATAGATTTGCATACAAGGAAAAAGTAATGGAGAATATCTTAATCCTAGATTATCCTAGCCATAGAGAAAGCTTGAAGAAGAAACAAAGAAGATATAAGTGAGCAAACTTGCTTAGAGAAAACAACACATGCTTAGCAAGAAGAAAGAGAACACAAAAGAGATTATCCTCAAAGTAATTTTGCACTTGTTTTGCTTTGCTTGATTGCCAAAAGGAGGAAAATTGTGTTGCAAGGATTAATAAAGAAAGGCTTAAAAATCCAACTTCAAAGCCTAGTTGTGAAAGTCTTCTCCTAGTGAAGTTAATGCAGAGAAGTGTTGAATACCACTTCAATGTTGGATTTCTTCCCCTTTTATAATACATATAGATTGTAACTTTTAGTGTTTTTTTTACCCTTAAAGTCATTTTGGTTTACGATTTCATAAGTAAGTTTGCATACAAAAAGAAAATAAACACTAAATTAAAGAGAATCAAAATTTAACCTAAAATATCAAGTTGGTAGAGAAAATCTATTTTAAGTTTGATTTGATTATTAAATCATCATGTCTGGTAAGAAATCGGAAGCTTACATAATAGTAATCTTGTATGTGGTAAATGACCGGTAAACTATCAGGTGGCAATCTCATATTTGGTAAGTAGTCAATATCTTATCTGGCAATAATTTATATCATTGAGAAGTGATATAATTTTTAACAGAATTGTTGAAATAATGTTTTCGTCAAATGTAATGATTTATGAAATTAAATATGAACAATAATAATTGTTTTTATATCGTATTAAAATATTCTTCTCGTCTAACTCTAAAATATATTAAATACTACTTTTTATGTTTATATATTACTTTTTTCTTAACATATTTATCATTATTATGATAACTCTAATTTCATTTTCTCATTTGAAGTTTTTTAGAGTAACTTATACCTTTTTAATATACATTAAATACTACTCTCTTCACGCCATTTTGTTTGTCTCTGTTAACCTTTTTAATCAAATAGCTTCAACTTTGACTATTATCTTTTAAAATATTATATGAAATTAAATTTAAAAAGAAAATGTTTTGAAAAGTTTGAAGTTCAAATTTGTAATTTTTTTTTAATTTTATGGTTTTATGATTTTGTTAAAAATAATGATCAAACTTGAATTTGTTAGATAAAAAAATCAATCAGAGACAAACATGATAGGATGGAGAGAGTAAAAATTGCTTTACATACTCATAAATATATTTTTCATATTTGTTAATTCAATAATTTTAGCATATCTTACTCAATAAATGTTATTTTACAACTTATTGTCTTGAAACATCGAAACAATGGATTTTTTTATTATTACTAGTATAATATCATTATTTATAAAAAAAATAACATTTAATTCCTATAGACTTAAATCTAAATTTCATATTATTATGCTTTTTATACATTTAAGATTGTTAATCTAATTCTTATATTAGACTAAGACCTTGTGTCATGGATCTCTATCAATAAAAAATAGGAGTAATCTTCAGCTAATAGATAAGAACATTCCTCCACTTAATAGACATGTCTTTTGAGTTAGATATGTGACCCCTAACAAATGATGTCAAAACCTACCCAACTCTTCACTAAGGTAAAACCCTCTTATGAGAGATATTAAGATTGAGGTAAAGTCGCCATTAAAGTAGATTCCTCTCCTCAATATATGAAAAAGCCAATGCAATGAAAATCTCAAATCCAAAAGAGATGAGATGAATTTTGAACTTCTATATCGAGCTTTTTCACTTAATAAACATATTCTTTAAGTTGAAAGTATGAACCCATGACACTTGTTTCATATTCGTTTACAAAAAAACATGGACATTATCAAAATAAAGAATCATTTGTGTTAAATTATGTTCAATGACCCCTTAAAACAATTAAAATTTTTTGTGCTATGACCATACAATAATGTAGGTAAGATTTTTGAACCATTTTTTAATTATACACTTGTATTTATTTTAACAGTCAACAATTTTATGTCGACATTAATGCAATTTCAATGTTATCTACATCTGTGTATATGAAATAACGCAATTTTTTCTAAAATTTTCACTTTCAATTTGTTTTAAAATAATAAAATTTACTAAAATATAATGTGGCATAAATAATTTTTCAAAATTTAATAATATGATCTAAGTGGTATCCTCGAACCTCACCAATTAATTATTGTCACATGCTTAATTTAAAAGGTTAGGTGTATGACATTGGAGTAAAAGATAGTTGATAAAAGTGTATGTTTTAAAAGCCAAATTTCTTTAACAATGTGCTAAGAATATCATGGAAATTATAAGGTCATAATAAAAAGAAGTAAATCACTATTAAATACAATGCAAACAAAAGAAATTAGAAAAAACCTCAGTTTGTTGCCTGCTTTATATTAAAAAATTTGTTAGTATCTCACTTATATACATGAGAAATTTATGTTAAAACTACTATTATATCCTAATTTTTTCAATAAAATTTATTAATATAATTTTGCTTTTAACTTTAGAATAGTAACTTTTGAATAAGTAAAAATAAACAACAAAATAACGAAATAACATCTTATTAACAAATTCTTACATGTATGTACATCTGTTCATCGAACTTTACTGAGGTTGTCACCTATGCAAACAAGTAAAATCAACGAATATAGTTAATCACTTCCAATTTCATATGAAACAAAAGAACATGGTATAAATTTATGACAAAAATAGAACAAGGTATAAACTAGATCACTTTACAAATTTGACTTCGAAAATATTAAAAGTACAAAAAAAAAATCATAGTTCCAATAAATTTTGGGAATTTTTTATACCGTTTCAATGAAATATCATAATATTTACATTTTTTATTTTTTAATATTTCAAATTTTTTTATAACTTACTTTACCTACAATAAACTAAAATGAAAAACTCTAAATGGTCCAACCTTGCGTAATGTAAACATTTGCTCCTATCTACTAAAGTGAGTTGTTGGATTCACTTACAAAATTGATATCTAATATTCATTGACAGTTGAATTATAGGCATTATGCTAAGGCTTAAAATTGTGTTGGGATAAAAGGTACAAAAATATTCAAGTGGAAACTAATTCAATGTTGGTTTTTCAAAAGCTTGCTAATCAAAACTCGTCCCTAAATCCAAATACCCGTCTATTGAGTGAAATAAACAAAGCTCCTTAATTTGAATTGGGAATGCTCTTTAATTCACGTTCATCGTGAAGCCAATCAGTGTGCCAATTGGATGGTGACACACCATAAGGATTTATCTCTAGGTCTTCTTATTTTTTATTCTTATCCTACTAGGATTATTTATTTTTTAGTTGCAGATAATCTAGGCATATCTTTGCCTAAAATGATGTAATTAACTTTTATTTTATTCCCTAGTATCAAAAAAATAGTCAGATAACAAAGTTTTCCTTCCTCATATTCTCTTTCTTTGCCTTTACTTTTCTTCATTCTCTCTAAAGATTGATTGCACCTTGACTTTAACACAAGACCTCGAAGATATCTAGCATTTTATTAGTTTCATCATCATTGAATTCGAAGAATTGCATCAAAACCAAAAGTTCTTTTTTATAAAAAATTAATGTCATTTCAAATCAAAAGCAAGGGAGACCATTAAAAATACAAGCTACTATAGCCCAACTAACAAGGCATTAGACAGGCCATAGTTGACAGCAACCAAGCTGCAAAAAAAAAAAAACCCCTAGAAATAATGTCTTATTCATTTGTATAGAAATCACACCCATCAATCCCTAATAATAAACATCCATGTACATCATCAAAATCCCCCAAGAAATAAAGTCAATAAGATAAAGAAGTAAGAATAAGAAACACAATTGGTTGGCATGTTTCCTCTTCTTACAACCTTATACATTCTGTTGAAACTTACATTCATAAGACAATCATGTCATCGCATTTCTTCCATCTTCTGCATAACACTACCCTCAAGGATAGCTTTTCCTTTTGTTGCTCTCCAATGAATGACAAAAAGCACCCATTCCCTCAGCTTAGAAGCTTATAATAGACAATGAAACAAAGAAATAGCCAACAGAAAGAGGTAAGAGAACCCCCACCAATGTTACGCACAACTAGGTGATTAAGGTTATATGCATAACAAATCATTTAATCTATCAACCCTCGATTTAGCAAGTTTCTCAGCCATATCGTTACGTAACCTTAGAGTGTGTCAAATCTGCCAACTTTAATTTGTAAAATCAGTTGCCTCAATCTCCATGGAGTAGCATCTAGTTTGGACACCCAAGTGATAACATTTTTGGAGTCACTTCCAATGATAACTACCAAAGAGTTAGCCCACGATGAAGCTACAAAGATCACCATGGCCTCATGGATGGTAAGCACTTCAGCATGATTCGCATCACCCTACCTTGCCTTCTTAGAGAAAACCACCTTAATAGTCCTTTTATCATCGAGCAAAACCTTGCCAATACCAAGATAGCTAGGACAACACTTAGCAACCCCATCTATGTTGAATTTAAGCCATCCATTAGGCGAACATTCCCATGATACTAACAGTTTAAATTGCACTCTTTTAACAGCTATTATGGTGATGGAAGGAGATTTAAGCAAGTCTATAATTGTAGGATTTTCTTTCGACCATTTAGACTTGAGCCACTATGTCGTCCTAGTTTTAATGGTATCCACCACTTTTATCGCATCCCAAATCTTCCCATTGAAAATGATTTTCGTTCTTATAAAGCCAAATAGACCATATAATATAAACGAATGGCACCTTCCACACTTTCTTTTTTGCCACTTCAATAGAACAAGAATTACACACCTCAAAGAACGAAGAGGCAACCCTTGGCATGCACCCATATATCGCTTGCTCCATTAAGCACATACTCCAAACCCTCCAAGATTCCATGTAAGTTAAAAATAGATGGTTTACAGATTCAATCTCCTAGTCGCACATCACACACAATGACACATCTCTTTGAATCAAGTTTCGTATGACAAGTTCCTCCTAGACCGCAACTCTTCCTTTGATCACTTACCATGCAAAAACTTCCACCTTAGGGGGTTCCAAACTAGCCCATACATCCTTCAAAATCTCCTCATCCCTTTCATTAGAAAGCAACATTGTTCTATAAAAGAAAATCGGAGAATATCTTCCATTTTGTGTACTTTTCCAAACCAATTTATCATCACTCTTACTATCAATATGAACATGTTGTAGGCATTCCATGAATTGACCCCACGTCTCTGTTTCCCAATCAAGAAATCTTCTTAGCTCAACATGCTATTGCCATTCTTAAGTCATCCATAATCCATATTCTTTAACTTTGCCAGTTTTATTTGTGGCCAAGGCAAAAATTCAAGGGAAAACCATTCGAAGAATCATGGCTTCAATCCATTCACCTCTCAAAACAAGAGTTATGGCAATGCATATAAGAATGTTCCACAGGATGACGTACAATGTTTTGAAGGCTTTAAGTTTATATCTCTCAATGTGTTTCATAATTACAAATGATATTGCCCATTCTCTTCAAAGCTAAAAATGTTAATTAATTTTTGAGTAATCAATCGTTAAGTGTATTTGATTCCATATACAATCAACTTGGTTTATGATTAAGTATTGTGTACATGATTTGCATAAATTCCTATGTGAAAATCTAGTACATATATTTGTTCATATTCATACCAAAAATTCAAAGCTGATAAGAAGAGAAAAAGAAGAAAAAAAATTTAAACTATATTAAGAGAAAGAAAAACATGCAATTCCTATACACCATCTATGTAAATTAAGCTAAATTTCATAAAAAAAATAAAAATAGTGAAAATAAGAAGGTATATCAGTTATGGCCGATGGCCACCTTCCCCACAAGAAAATTGTTGAAAGATGTTAATAACATAATTTGAATCTAAAGTTGCAAATGGATGCAAAAGGGACTTAAACTGACATACTACCAAATTCTGCATTCCATTCAACATATGTAGCAATTTCCTACTTAGAAACCGAAGGCATCACCTCCTTTAAAGCATTTTTGAAATCCTTAAAAGTAATTGGCCTTAAATCCTCTCTTTGCAATTTGCAAATATCTTTCCCATTCTTAGCTTCCTTAATCGCTTCCTTTATTGGACCCATCGTAGTTTCCTTGACTAAGTTTTTCATGTTTGATCTTAAATATCCATCAGTTAAGTTGCATATGAGATCAAGGTCTTTTTTTTTCAAGCACATTTCGACCATCCTTCTTTATTTTGTCAAGAATAATGTGTGATCTGGCTTCAGTAGTAGGCAAAGGAATGTAAAGCCTCTTGCTAAATTGCCTGCGCGTTACTTCATCAAGATCCTGAGGCTTGTTTGTTGCTCCAATGACTATGATTTGTTCACTTCCAAAATCAATGCCTACCATTTCAACAAAAACTATGTTTTAAGTCGCTTGATGGATTCATACTCAATGATTGATGACCACTTATTGAAAAAGGAATTTATCTCATCAAGAAAAATAATAGAAGGTTGTAAATAACGAGCAACCCTAAAAAGTGCTTTAACAAGCTTTTCACCATCATCAAGCCACTTGCTTGACAATGAAATGGTAGATATGTTGAAAAAGGTTACTTTCATTTCTCTGGCTATGGCTATTACAATCATTAGTTTACCTAGTCTTGGTGGACCAAAAAGGAGAACTCCTTTGCCTACTGAACAGATGCTTTGAAAGATTTTCGGATTTAGTACAGGCCACAAAATAGTTTCATGCACATAATTTTTAACATGCTCAAGCCCTGCGATATCATCACAGTTAGCAATGGTATCTTGATCTATTATCTCAGAAATAATTCATTGGATCTGCTCAGGTTCCCAATGCTCAAGCCTTTTTGGAAGCTCATTGTTGGGATCATATAATGCTTCCAAGGCTCTCTTTTTTGCGAGCATTATTGATGCTGTGCTAGTAGCATTTGTTCCTAGCTTGGAGAAATTCAGTATATACTCTATATTTTGTATACTCTATATGATACGGACCAAATTTACTGTAAAAAGAAAGAGATGCAACTTGGTTTTGTTGAGGAATACTAGAATGATGAGTGATTGTAGCCTTTTTTTACGGAAGAACACTTGAGGGAGGAAAGGCACTTTGGTATGGTTGATAAAGATAATTGAGAAAAGGAACTTCAAGTGCACTACTTATTGGAGAACTACCTAAACTAAACAAAAAAAAGCCTAGCTTGATTCTGTTGAGGAATAATATTGGAGTAAGGGAGTGCAACTTGGTTAATACTAAGAAGAGATGGAACTTGGCTTGCTCGATAGATAAATGCGTGCAAAGTAGATTGGTTTGATCTTAATGTAGCATTAAACCCCATTATGTCATTAATCACACCCTTGGCTTTCTGTAGTGAATCCAATATTTCGGAAACAACTAATTGAATCTCAATGTTCTGTTTTGACAAAGGAATAACATCAGAAGGACAGATAGTACTACTTAAAGCCAACACCAACAATGATGTATGAAAAGATTGCATCTTTGATAGTACTTCCTCACTTTTTTTATCACAAAACAAAAGGGATAAGATAATTGAATATGTCTGTTGTTTTGTCAAAGTCTTTTTCTCAATCAATGAATTGCTTCCATTAGAATCCATATTTTCTTCTTTCAAAAAAACTACAAAAAAGTTTTTATGTCTCAAATATAATAAGTTCACGATTGACATTAAATTTTATGTCACCCCCAAACGAATCAAAAATCTAAAAAAATAAATAAATAATCAACTCAAATTAAAATGATCATACAATAATAGATTTGCATAGTAATAAAGGATATCTTAATCCTAGATTATCCTATATCCATAAAGAAAACTTAAAGAAGAAACAAGGAAGATATCACTGAGCAAACTTGCTTGGAGAAAAGAAGGAGCACATACCTAGCAAGAAAAAGAACAAAAAAGAGATTATCCTCTAAGTAATCTTGCACTTTTTTTGCATTGCTTGATTACCAAAGGAAGGAGAATTGTGTGCAAGGATTTAACAAGGGAAAGCTAAAAGCCAGCTTCAAAGTCTGGCTATGGATGTCTTCTCCTAATGAAGTCAATGTGGAGAAATGTTGAATACCACTCCAGAGTTGGATTTCTTCTCCTTTTATAATACTAATAAGTTATAAATTTTTCCCTTAAAATTTATTATATGATTTCATAAGTAAGTTTTCATACAAAAAATGAAAAACTAAATTCGAAGGAATCAAAATTGGATTTCATAAGCAAGCTTTCATACACCATTATGGTTATTTTTTAACATTTGGGAATTTTTTTTATAACTTATTTTTTCTGCAACAAAATAAAATAAGAAACTATAAATGGTCTAGCCTTCAATAAGGTAAGTATTTATTCTTATCTACTCAAGATGAACTATAATGCTATATAGACAGATTTTATACAGCAAAGTTTTCCTTCCTCAAATTCCATCTCTTTGCCTTTAGCTTTCTACCATTGATTGCACCTTGACTTTAACACAAGCCCTCAAAGATCTAGCATGTTATTGGTTTATCATTACTAAATTCTAAGAATTGGATCGAAATCAAAAATTATAGCAATGCAAATGAGAATGTTCTTTAGGGTGTCGTAGAAGGATTAAAAGGCTAGTTCTTCAAAGTTAACAATGTTTATGAATTTATGACTAATCAATCATTAAGTGGATTAGATTCCATGTTCAATTAAGTTGAATTATAATTAAGTCTTTTGTCAATTTGTATAAGTTCATATGTGAAAGTAATGCAATGACAGATTCTATTTCATATTTTTGTTCATAGTCATACCAAATTCAAAGTTGGTGAAAGGAGAAAAAGAAAAAAGAAACTTTAAACATTACATTAAAAGATAGAAAAGCTTTATATTCAAAATTTATATATCTTTTCCTTTTTTAATTTTATGATTTTATAATTTTATTAAAAATAATTATTTAAATTTGTTTGATAAAAAAGTCAATAACAGACTAACTTGATAAAATGAAGAGAGTGAAACTTGCTTTATCTATGAATAAATATACTTTTCATATTTGTTAATTCAATAATTTAAGCATATCTTACTCAAGAAATGATATTTTACAACTTATAGTCTTGAAACACTAATGAAATAATGAATTTTTAAATTATTACTAATATAATATGATTATTTATAAAATAATAACATTTAATTTTAGAATGTTGATACCATTCTTATACTAAACCAAGACCTTGTGTTATTGATCTAACATCAATAAAAGATAGGATCAATCTTGAACTTTTAAGGGTATTCTTCCATCGAATAAGTATATCTTTTAAGTTGAAAATGTGATCTCATGATAAATGGAATCAAAGCTTATTTTACTTTTCACTAAAGTGAAACCCTCCAATAAGAGATTTTAAGGTTGAGATAAATCCCCACCAAAATAGATACCTCTATTTCATGTGTGATAAAACAAATGTAACAAAAGTCCTACATCAGAAAGATGGGATGAGTCTTAAACTTATAAATCAAGCCTTCCTCCACCTAATAAATTTGTTTTTAAGTTGAAAGTATTTCTTAACTTCCAGCTTAGTGTTTTTTTTTTTTACCCTTAAACTCATTTTAGCATATTCTATCATAAGTAAGCTTTCATACCAAAAAAAAAAACACCATATTCGAAAAAATCAAAATTTAACTCAAATTGTCAAGTTAGTGGAAAAAATCTATTTTGAGTTTGATTTTCTTATTAAATCATCATGTTTGGTAAGAAATCAATAGCTTACGTGGCAGTTGTCTTATATTTAATAAGTAACCGATAAATCATGAGGTGACGATCTCATTTTTTATAAAGAATTATTATTTTACCTTACGATGATTTATATAAGTGAGAAGCGATATAATTTTTAGTGAATTGATAAAAAAAGGTTTTCGCCAAGTGTATGGATTTATGAAATTAAGTATTAACAATTGTAATTGTTTTTATAATTATGCCAAAATATTCTTCTTGTCCATTTTCATAATATATTACATGCTACTTTTTGTTTTTATATATGAATTTGCTTTTCCTAATAAATTTATCATCATCATAATAACTCTAATTTCATTTTCTCATTTGAAAATTTTCTTAATATAACTTATTTTTTTTAGTGTACGTTATATGCTATT